GTGGCGATGCTGGGGCAACGGCCGCGCCGGCCGCCCAAGGAGACGGGCACAGCTGCAGGACGATATGCCAGGCCTCGACCTTGTCCAGAAATTAGGCGACAAATCCAATTTCTCATTCGCTCGGCTGAGTGTACACCCATGGGGTGGGGTTGGGGTGGGATTCGGTACAAGGGCTACATGCGAGAAACCCAGGCTGTGGCACAGGCCGTCACGACTCAAATCAGTGCATGGGAGCATCCCTGTTTTCAAACAAACAAAGACCGACAGAAAATTGCTAAAGAGGTACTTAAAGAGCGGGGCAGAGTCGGTCATGCTGCCGCAGAAGCGTGATCGCCGCGGTGGCCTGCGGGGCCGAGGCACTGCAAGGCGGGGGAAGAGCCGGGGGCTCGCTCACGGTGCACCCAGTTTATTGAACATTGCTTTATTATTATTTTTTTCGCACATTTTTTTCCTCCCCCTTTTTCCTTTGCCCATTTATTTTGCTGCAGAACTGTGTTCCCTGCACAAGAGCCTGGAGCAGGAGAAAAGAGACCTGGAAGATCCCGAGCGCCCCAGACAGAGAAAAAGGAGGAAACCTCGCGTCCTCTTTTCTCAAGCCCAAGTCTACGAACTGGAGAGAAGGTTCAAGCAGCAGAAATACCTCTCGGCTCCCGAGAGAGACCATCTAGCGAATGTCCTAAAGCTCACCTCCACCCAGGTGAAAATTTGGTTCCAGAATCGAAGGTATAAATGCAAAAGGCAGAGACAGGATCAGACCCTCGAAATGGTGGGCATCCCTCCCCCCCGGCGGATAGCGGTGCCAGTGCTGGTGCGCGATGGGAAGCCCTGCCTGGGGGAGTCTTCTCCCTACAGCTCACCCTACAATGTCGGCATTAACCCCTATAGCTACAATGCCTACCCCGCGTACACTAACTACAACAGCCCTGCCTGCAACGCCAACTACAACTGCAACTACCCGTCCATGCAGACCATGCAGCCCTCGGCGGCCGGCAACAACTTCATGAACTTCAGCGTAGGGGACTTGAATTCGGTGCAGACGCCCATCCCTCAGGGGAACGCGGGGATCTCCACGTTGCACGGGATCCGAGCCTGGTAGAGCTTCCCCCGTACCCAGCCTGCTCCCCTCCATGGACCACGGCCACCGGCGAGACCCCGGGGTTGGGGATGGAGGG